ATCCTCTTCCATCCTCTGCTCCTGACTATAACCTGGAGATTCTCTATCATTAGACTCTCCCCTAAGAGAAGTGGGTGAGGTACTAGTGTTTATTGGATCAACTTCTGTTGGTGAAAGAGAAGATTTTGAGTGTCAGAGAATTGGAAAGCTTGTCAATTTCACCAATAGAAGTTGGTCCAGTAAAAGATATTACCTCTTCCGCCTTGTCTGTCTCATACGCTGAGACCAATATGGTTACAACACTGCAAACAATAGTATTTATAGTCAATCTACTTGCTTAGAAGACCTGATACTATTGGAACACTGGGTGCACGTGCACCTCTGAGATGTCTTTATTCAGGCAAAACTCCCATTGACGTAGGAGAGACTCTTTGGGCCTATATACACTGCAGCTAAGTTTGAGGACCCAGTTACAATTGAGTTTAATGTAGACTTAACCCTGAAATGCATCTGCGAACCCACTTCTGTATCCATGCAACATACATAGCTCCCTGCTCTTCCGGACAGTCTGCAATTCACAGGATCAGGCCTGTAATTGTTAGAAATGGCTCTGTGCATTCTCCTGCCAGAATGGAAAGGTTTTAGGGCTAGGCCAAGAATGTAGAGATTGGGGCTACCCAAAATTCCTTTGTGAAGTCTGCCATTGCTTTGTATACAAATTTTTAATGCACTTATGATTCTTTGTGCCCGCATATGCATATTTTTGCATGCTGAATTCAAATCTTTTAATACATGTTCAAGGAGTCTTACGATGTGTAAGGTAACAGCTCTAAGGACAAGTGATGGTGCAGATGTTAGAAAGCTAACTCTGCAGATAGTGCTAGTGAAGGCTCAGAGTTGCTCAGAACGATCGAAAAGGCTCGATTCCAAAGGGTTAATGAAATGTAAGTAGTAAGCACTATTTACTTGGTAGCATTTTCAGCCATTGCCAAAAACAAAACAAAAAAGTAAGAAGCGCTAGTCTATGCTGAGGACTAAAATTCCAATGTTTGAAACCAAGGCACTTTTTAGCTAGCTCATAACACCATATTTAAGACCAAGTTTTTCT